TCTTATGTGTTCAATTTATTTTTATCCATTCATTCATTCATTCACAGTCCGTCAGTACAGTGTTGATGGACAGTGGTTTATTTATTGAAGATGTTGGAATGTCCAATCGCAGCTCCTCTATCTCCGGTCTGGAAACGGCTAGCGTTTTTTTGTCTCGAACCGTGTTGCGGGTAATCAAACCGTTCACACCCGGACCGAGGAAGTCAGACAGATTACGATACTGACAAAATATTAATTGAAATCGACAATTTTATCGTCATGCAAAGCGACACCTCGTTGTATGACTCCACTTTGACCCCAAATAACAGGCTACTATAACGTAAACGAAACATGTAAACAAAATTAGCATTATGACATTTTGCGTTATTGAACCCTGATACATATCAAAACCAGCCTACTCCCAGTCGGCATTTTCTAGCTGGTGATCCACGGTCGACTAAGAATGAGTAATCTGTGACAGATTTGTTTGATGGTTAAAAACAATATTTGAGTTAGTGGCATTGTTTGACATACTAATATATATTATCTAAATGATGTAGTTTGAAGCAAGTAACTGACCCCGTGCGAACCTAATCAAGTGTATCTGTGTGTATATTGAAGGTCTGAAAGTTAAACAGGGCACGCCTAGAGAAAAGTGGAGTGCGTGTTGAAATTGGTACATGGATCATTGACATGGATGTTGAAAGACCGGAAACCAAGCAATCAATTGTACAATTACAATTACTTACTAGTATTTATTATTCATGATGATCTGGTAATACACTCATTCCTGTATAAATACAATCTGCATGGTTTCATATATGTAAATTATTTCACAATATCTCATTTACAAATGTCGTAATTATTATTATTATAGCTTCAGCCTTGCCCTTTTAATTTATATCATTGAAGATTGGCCAATTAAAGAAAAACTATTTTATAAACTACTTAGCAGTCAAGAAAAGACATACAAATTCGCCAATTTACCAGTATGTTTCCACAATCGATGCATACGTGCATAATTTTAATTTTAAAATTTGTCACAAAACTTGTGCTTTTAGATTTTGGGACGAAGCAATATTTTATGTTGACGCACACGCATTATGAATGTGGTTCATTAAAAAACTAGATTGCATGATGTCATTGGCACCAACAAGCAGAACAGAATCAGCGAAATCAAATCTGTTTGTTGATGGTTGCATCGTTGACCCGGAAACAGTTTACTGGACCCGTGGTGTTATGTAACAATGTATTTGATTGGATCATGGAACTGGGTTTATAGTTCCATGATTGGATAAAGCCACGTAATCAGAATATTTGTTCCAAAAAAGAACACAAATAAATTTATTTCCTCCACTTATGGAGGAGTCAAAGGCTTGGTCGTTTTAGCGGGGTTTTAACCGTGGCTGAAAGTAAATCCAACATTAAATGGTGACATTGGTCGAGTATAATGTGTTTTAGCGAGTACTGATGTTGACTTCTTGGTGATCAGGAAATTGCTGCAATGTCTGTGATGGTGCGTTGGCCGTTTACCGATCATGCACGTGGCTACTTTTGATTCCGCTAGGCGGTGACGTTGTTGTTACAGGTCACGGCGTTGACTTTGTTTTAATGAATGATTTTACCGATATCAATTTTATATATTTGACGCCAAGTTTACAGTAAAAAAATGGGAATGGCAATAATACACTTTGTTTGGCCACATATTAATTTGTAATTGTGTTAAAAAAAAACTTGCAACTATTATTTGTTCAGTAATCTTATCACCTGCTACAATAATAATGCCGGGATTTTCACGGTTACGCCTTAAAATGAACATGTCACCAATCATTTTCCCGTGACAGGTGTGAAGTCACATTTAGCACAATGTGTGATAGTCTGTATTGTAAACCATTCTGTTTCAGGGACCAGGACGCACAGGAATTATATAACAGGGCGATCACAATTTCAGATAACAGGGTAAACCCGGAATTCGGAAAGTAACCCCCCCCCCCGAGAGACCGCCGTTGATAGATACAACCCAACCTCAGATGTGACATCTTATGCTATTATTAATGTTAACAGAAGTGTATTACCATGTGATTGTCTAGTTCAACTTTAAAAAAGTAGATTTTGTGCCAAAATCTTTTCGAATTTATAACGTTAAAACGCTTTTGCGGAGTAGATGGACGGTGACTGGTGTGTCAGGGGCTTCGGCTTTTTGCTTCTGCGGCATGGAGAAAACACTGAACTGAATCTATCGTGCTGGGTGTATATTTATCGCAGTTTACGAGCCTTTGTCCCGAGCCAGTTTCCAAGTATTAACAAGATGGAGAATCCAAGTAACCTAGATTACAACAGAAAGAAGAAGTTAATTGTAACAAATCAAACAGAAATAAACGACAGTTTGTCGTTATATATACATAAATTGTGACTGCTAACATTATACAATTATACATACATAATTATTATACTTCATTATTTCATATTTATATATTAAACCATTGAAGATGTCATCTGTTATTATTTGTAATTGATCTTACTCATACATGAAGTATCCCTCCATAATATAAATATAAATGTCTAAATTCCAGAAATAGATCAACTTTAAGTTAGTAGATATGTTCGATATGAGAGTTATTACATATTAATGAACACCAAGCTAAAATATTATTATAAAATACATAGTATTTAAAAGTAAGTTTCATCATGAAACCATCAACGATTATATATAAACCAGGACCAATCAACAAGAAAATTACAATCAGCGTGCTGTCATTACACTTTATATAATTATTTGATGAATCGTGAATCAGTGGGGTATTTTTATCTCTAGTTGTGTAAGAAACAATACTCCAGACAACTAAATAAGTTCATAGTTATACAAACACATGAAATGCATATATTTTGAAACCGTTCGACGTTAGCCTGACAAGTTCGCGTGAGTTGCGCCCTCCGCGGTGCTCCAAACTCAACACAGTTAGTAGGGTCTGATAGGCGCCACTCACGCCTTCATGTTAGGCTAGTTCGACGTGAGCTCACATTATATACATAGGTATATGGTCACTCATTTTATTTTCATAAATCACCAAAATACGCAATTTATTTGCAAATAAGTGGTTTCCTAGTGTTTAAATTTTACTCCCTTATTTATATACAACGGAAAATGCACACCGGGGCTGGCACTACAGTCCCGGGATAGAGTGACGGTGATTGCACCATGAAGGTAAAAAAATGATTGCACACATGTGTAGGAGAATTGCGTCAGAACAAAAAGGAGTGAATCACTTGGCGTGCTAATGCGGGTCAGTTGTTGAGAACGTGATAAGGCGATCACGTGTCGAAGGCGAGTTCTAACCCAAACTCCACGATCCCGGCGCATGTCACGTGTATTGCATCATACGAGAAGTGATAAAACATTCAAAATACGTAAGGACAAGCGACCTACATTTCATTTGCATGATCGGGTGTTATAATAATTATCAGTCGATGATGAAAGAGAATAATCCCAAAACGTGGCGTGGATTATTATTATTATTGAGGCCTCATAAGTCAATGCCCGGTTATTAACACAGTTACAATATGCATTATCTTGCCAGAACAGACACAGTTCTAACACACTCGTGTACAGTGACGACGTGATCTCGTACATTCGTAGTCCCAGGATTCGCACCAATCAAACTGCCAGAGGCTGCGGCAAGAAATTTTGCATGGGGCGGGGTGTGTGTCCGGGTGTGTGTGCTCAGCAACCTCGCGTTACCTTACTAGGGGGGTCCGGGTCATGCTCCCACTTAACAATTTTGAAATCTAGACCCTCTGAAACGCTATTTCCTGCATTTTGTTGGGGTCAATTTTGCTGACACAAAGGTTTTGGAGGGGCGACTCCCCAACATTTTCAGTTTTTAAGGGGGCGACAGCACCTGTGCCACCGCCACTTCTAGGGGAACTTCGTATTTTTTAAATAATTTTTAGCCGAAATAAATAAAACGCGACAGTATGTTATACCATGGTTATACGCTGTTATTTCGGAAAAAATCTGTCTATAGCAACCATACCAGAGAGCGTCACTCACCTGGCTTCCCATTACGGTAAGTGGAGGTAACCAAAATATTTCGTCATGCCCTTACAATAGTGGCTTGTGATCTTTTACAATAAACGTTTTGTATCTAACCATGGAGTACGTCCATGATCTAACTCGCAAATGATTACACGAACTTGGGTGCGCGTCTAAGGAAGTGTTTTACATTCCACGTTTTTAATCCATATTCTTCTCATACAACCTTGCACAACATAAAGAATGGTTTATCCCATGTATGTTAAATGACAGAGCTCCGTCTGCTCCATTTATTTATCAGATAGGCGCATGTCTGTATTTCATGCTACGTACTACGCCGGGTGAAACACCGACTATACAAATCAGACAGTTCACTCAAGGGGTCACACCTTGATTACCCATTGAGCGTGAAATAATTTCATTACCGAGTTAGGTTACGTCACGGCGAAGACTATTTTTGTCACATCATGGCTGTCTTGAATTATCTAGTTCTAGAATGTCCGTAGATATATGCTATAACCGGGTTTTTGCAGTTGTTGGATGTATCGACTTAACCCTGAATATGCGACAAATTGACTAATTACGCTACGAGTATCCATAACAACGATTTGATTGGTCAAAACCTCCAATTTGCAACAGCCGTGATACAAATTAGTTGAATCATAGTCACTTGATTTGATATTTAGGTCACATGCATGATTTAACGAGTGAATAACCTATTTCACATTACAGTGAACTCACAATAGTAATAAATCCGAAGTCTGATTGTTGCCCAATAACGGATACTACTCGTATGGTGATGAAATAATGGTAAATACAGAGAGCAACGCTACGTGATTTTGGTTTTATCGTGATGTGACACAGAATATAACCCCAATATACGATTATATTTACCGTTATTGTATAAAACACCATCACTGCGACAGCTAATACATGAAGTGATGCCACCATTTGTCGCTTTCCACGTGGTTTGGATTCAGGTCTTTAATTAAACACTCGAAACTGTAGTTTGTCCATTGTTATTGTCCCATATAGTCTGGCCGTTTACTTCGTAGCAGATGGCGAACTCTAGACGAGAGCCGACGCCAAAATCCTTTGGTACTGGTAGTACGAAGGCAAATCGTTCCGTCACCGGTGGCTTTGTATCTTCCGTCTTTTCTTTGCACTCCGTCAGATTGGCGCTCAGCGTCTCAGGGCAACTCGTTTTCTCTGGACTAGGTTTGTAATAGGGTACATAGTCGGCAATAATGTCCTCACTTGTGCGCCAGTTATTTCGCGTGTATCGAATCTTGACTGTTTTTGAGAACCCGATGTTCGCCACCCTTACCATGCCGCTGATTTCGCGATTAGTGCAGTTGACGTCTTCCAGCAATAGGTATCGACTCAGTACTTGTTCATCGATCGTGTCGTCGCTCTGCTTGTCACTACTCGGTAATTCGAATGTGGCAGATATACTTTTAAGTGGTGGCATACGTCTGTTATCAGGAACGATTCCCAAAGTCTTATAAACATCGTTTTTCGGCTGAAACCCGTCACGGGCCATCTGCTCGACCAAACTGGCTTCAAAATCAAGTCCGATTTCAAAATCCATGGCAAACAATTACTGCATACGTCACCTTGTAACAACGATGAACTGAGAAGTGGTGAAGCCCGTGACAAACTGGTTCTAGGTGCAATGCGTTGATATTACGTCACTGAACACGGGATCTCACCGCCCACCGGATTTCATTGCAGAGAAGTGTGCGTTATAAGTACACTGCTAAATATACTATAGTGTAAACCCCATTCACAAAGGTTATTGATCCAATTACATTTCCCTACTACAGTGGACTGCTAAGATCATTGAACCCCGTAGATCATTGAAACCCGTCGACAGACGTGTGCTACTACCTGTAAAGTCAGATGTGCAGATTAGGTATATGCATGTCCGAGACACTAACTGGTGTCAGGTTTTTTTTGTCGCGAGTTTTCAATCACGTGACTTAGCCGTGAATTGTCGTCACCAAGACATGATCGTCCTAGTATTGCAACATGCAGACGATGTGCACAAATACCAGCATACACCGCACTATACACGAGTATAATCACGATCCATTCACGCGCTTCTATAATTAGTGCCATGATAGGTCGTCGCCCTGACTACAGTGGCGATTGGCGTATTCCACTGACAGCACACCATTCATGGTACGCCGTCGTGAACACTGAGACAGAAAACAAAAGTATTGTTATCGCGAGATCTTGTATTAATAATACGTTCTCGTTATATGACCTCGTGTTATTATTACAAGATCTCAAGATCTATTGATTAACAATATTTTTTTTTCAATAATCTTGCTATCAAGTCTTATTGTTTTTTTTTAAAAAAAAATGAAGAAATTAAAAAAAAATCCGTGAAAATAGCAAAAAAAATAGAAATGGTAGAATCATCGCAAAAGAAAACAAACGACTTGTGCAAGCGTTCTCATTGGCACGGGCCATGTTTTCAAACAGTGACGTGACTACTGATTTAACCAATTAGAAACTACTACTACTACTACTACTACTGATACCATTACTAAATAAATATGCAGATGACATTTGATAGAAAAATAACTATCGTCTGCTTCGTTATTATATTTTCCGTTCAAACTGTCATCGTTCAACGTTGCGCGATGTCATAGGGTGACTGTATATGATGGCATAGGTGAGTGTAGCACTCAGTTGACATTGGAAATAGTTGCCCGGGTTGCTGGGATGTGCGGTACGTGCCCTCGACTGTGTTATGGAGGTATTGTACTATAAGATTAAACTCCATGGTTAGAATCACACCATTGGGGGAGCTTTTTCGAAGTTTATTGTCAATCCGTTGTCAACGTGACAGTAACGTGACTGTGTGTATTCTCAAATAATTTAGTGTGATTTGAGTGTTTATTGTATTATTATTATTATTATTATTATTATTATTATTA